AAATAGCCAAAACCAAAAAAAAACAAAGCAATTGTGACCATAAGAACTTATCAAAAGAAAAATGATTGCTTTTACGGATGCGTGTGTATATTTACCTGACAATACCAGCAGTTATTGTGTTCTGGAGAGAAAGAGGACAACCCACAGCTATTACCCAGTCTCCTGGACGAAGCTTACTTGAAAACCCAAGTTTCGCGGTTGGCAATGGTGTCTTTGACTTTATCTTCACTAATGCAATGTCAGATTGTAAATCAGCGTTCACCACCACACCCTCAAACGTCCTGCCATCTTGCAACGTCACATCAACCTATAATTCAACAATTCTAAACTTCACATATGTTCCACTAAATAGATTCCATTCAAGTAAACCATTAGAAGAAGCTAATCATATCAGCTACAATCCAAGTTTCCTTTAGCTTCAATAATGAACCATATAATCCTGAAACATCAGTCGTTTTAAGATCCTTGACAAGATTGTATGAGCAAAACTACATAGTTCTTGAAGAGTTTTGACATTTGAACTTACCCTCCCTTTAGATGATTGACGAATGTTCTGATAACCGACCACAACATGAGCACAAGTCAGTATCGTGCCATCAGCATCAATGATCGTTCCAGAACCGATACTTCGTCCCGTAGTAATCCCATAAACTCCTAGAAAATTCCCATAATCAACCAAATCACCTCTGTGAATACTACAACCAATTTTGGCAAGGGTAAGAAGAAAAGAAAAACACAACTAGAGCCTAGAAAGAAGCTAACTTTGAGGAACTGAAAGATTGACAACTGCTGGTCCTATTCTTGCAGCAGCATTGGCGATTGTATCTCTCCCTAAGTACCGGTTACTTGGTTTCGGAGTATCCGAAGCTTCAACAGGAACTCTCTTCTCATCATTTGCAGTTGCTTCTGATTCAGGACGGACTCTAGAAGAAAACGCCGTGAAATTTCCTGTATAAATAAAGACAAGTATCTATTTCAAAGCTGAGAATCCAAAGTAAAAACTACTTAAAAGAGAGATCAGAAACTTGATTACGAACCAAAGAGGGTTTGATCAGGTCGATGAATTAGGCCCTGTGAAATCTGCCAAGGCAACGACAAAGATTCCCGAACAGAGACCGGAATAACGAGCGATATTCTCGGTCCTAGATTGCATACCAAATCTCAAAGAGAAGTAGGAAAGTTGTGTAGAAAACTATATAATTCGAGTAAGAGATTAGGTTTACCTGTATCTGGATTATTACTTTGAGCATATACAATTCGAGAAGCAGCTGTAGCAACAGCGATAATGCGAATAAGCGAGTTTCGCTTAGAAAAAAGAAAACCAACTTGTTAAGTTTTAGCAAATTACCCAGAGAAATTGTTCATCAATAATCGGAGAGAAGAAGAATTGTACCAGAATATTCATCATGGCGATCACTTTGTTTCTGATATGAAATTCAGAAAATGCGTCGTCTCCTCTGATAGGTTTCCAGAATCGCGTGGAGACTCGCTCAACAGCTGTTTAATGGGTTTCTCAAATTTAGGCCCAAATAAAACCCAAGTTCAACAAATACATAATATGAACCTGAGTAAATTATATTAATGGTGTTGACATCTTATTAAAACCTAGAAAATTCTAAAATGGTGTTCACATATACGCCATCTATTCAAGCCATGAGATGATTCAATTTTTCTCCCCAAGTGCGTAAATAAAAGTATGAAATCCAGAAATCATTCAATTTATTTGATTAGATAGATGATCATCTTTACTGAAAGAGAAGAACAAACCAAGAAACTAGTTGTTTCATTACAAAATAGCGTAAACCATAATTTCCCCTTGGTTTCAAAGACTAACCAAATAGAAGAAAACTACACATTCCCTAAACAGAAAAAAAAAAAAGATCTTCTTCTTCTAGATTGGATGGATATAAGCAAGAGCCTAAAAACCAAAGTAGTGATTAAGCCTTCTTGGGAGATTTGGAGGCAGGTGAAGCTTTATCAGCTTGGGAAGCAGAAGTAGCTTTCTTGGGAAGAAGAACAGGATTGATGTTTGGAAGAACTCCTCCACTCGCGATGGTGACTCCGTGAAGCAGTTTCCCCAATTCCTCGTCGTTCCTTATCGCTAAGCAAAGATGCCTAGGGTTTATCCTGTTCTTCTTGTTGTCCCTTGCAGCGTTCCCAGCGAGCTCCAGAACCTAATAACCACATTCACACAGTAAAATCGCTCTCAGATCTCCTCCCATTTCTCACGATTCATACCCAAAAAATAAAACCGAATATGGAAACTCAATTATTAAGCAGATCCATTCGGTAAAATCATCAATTCGTCAGTATAAATCGAATCGGGATATTTCCCCCTTGCACTACACAAACCCTAATTTCATTTCCAGTTCGTCTATAAACCAGAAATCAGAATGCACATCGGAGAAATCAAAAAAGAAGAAGAAGAATCGAGATCTAGAAAACTACCTCGGCGGCGAGGTACTCGAGAACGGCGGCGAGGTAAACGGAAGCACCGGAGCCATACCTAAGAGCATAACGGCCTTTCTTCAAGTAACGAGCGATACGACCAACCGGAAACTGGAGACCAGCCTTGACAGACTTGGTAACACTCTTCTTCCGATCTCCTCCTCTTCTTCCTCCGGCACCTCTCGCTGGCTTCGCTGCTGCTGGTGACTCCATTGAAACAGCTCCAAATTTCCAAACAAACCACAATTTCTCTTTTCCGGTTTTGTGGCGGTTTACGATTTGCGGAGAATGGGGAGTGAGCAACGTGTATGTATATACTACGTACTGCCACGCTGGCGATCCGAGTATCAATGACGTTATCCGTTCAGATTGTACCTCCTCGCTTTTTATCCAACGGTCACTGTGACTCTCTCTGTCCACGATGAGTCGTCCTATTTCGTTGCTACACGTGGAAGCCGCAAACGATGTAAAATCTCACCCGTTCGATTCCTAAAATAAACAACTTTTTATCTTACTTAACCTTCTTCTCTTTTTTTTCATCAAATCTCCAGGCAATTATGAAAGGGAGTCAACCAATTATTAACCCTAAGTTCAATTTAATTGTGTACATATTTTCTATTATTGCTATTTAGGGAAGGGAACCAACCAATAAATAATTAACCCAAAGTTCAATTTAATTTTTCTATTCTTGCTATTTAAGGAAGGGAACCAACCAATAATTAACCCAAAGTTCAATTTAATTTTGCACCTTTTTTTTTTACCATAAAATTTTTCGAATACAAAAAAAAAAAAATATGATCAAGAAAGAGAATTTAAAATATTCAACTGTAATCTCCTAAGCTCCATGACAAACCCAGAAGCATCATTAATGGCTGCTCGAGCTGCAACCAAAGATTCTTGTAACTCGGAGTTAACAAGATAATAAGAGCATATCTCTTTCAGCATCACATCATGACGCTCTTGAAGCCTCGCCACATTCTCTTCCGCACCAATCAAAGCTTCATTAACGAGCCTCAGCTTCTCGATGGCTCGACGTCTCTGCCTCGAGATTGGACTGAGAGCAAACAAGAACGATCCCGAAAGAGCGATTGTAGTACAAAGGATTATAATGCTTCCATAAACATTCATGAATGGAACGGAATGGGGGTTTGGTGAAGGAGAGAATATTGAAGAAATGATAGTAATATAAAGTGGATTCATTACTTGAGAGATGCTTGAGATTTATTCTTTACTTCTCAATGGATCTTTCTTTTGTAACTTCCAAGGACGTCGTTGTGATCGTCCTTTTCTTCGAGGTTTCCTTCCTCTTGGACGTTTCATTGTCTCTAACCGCTGACGCCGGATCTCTGGATCTGCCCATCCTTTTCCCCAATCAGAGAATCCGCTGTATGTGCTGCGTTGTTTCAGCGAAACCTGCATGTCAGCTTCCGGGTAAACATACAGTGGCTTGTCATCTTCAAAATCTAGTTGCTTCATCCCTTTTTCTGTTGACTGTATACAAGTAATCTCAACCCGACGAGCCTGCAACACAAATCAGCAACAGATTTCCAACGGTTTAAACTGAATACAAGTTAAATTTGAACAGAGCTGATTCGTGAAACTAAAGAAGAAAGGTTGGGTTTTTTGCTTGTACTGTACTTACTTTTTTATCCATCTCTTGGATGTATCCCTCGGCTTCCATGATACGGGCAAGTCCTTTCCACCAAAGACAATCTGTTTCCATGAATTTCTGGGACTACACTAAAAAGAAGGCATCACATTAATATCATTGAGGACATAATTCACAAATGTAATTTATTGAAACAGAAGATTACCTGTTCCCTGATTCTACTGATGAAGAACCGAAGATCCGGCTTGTGGGAGAATTTCTTTTGTTTGCTGTTGCTGAGTCCATAATCTTCATATGATACATTCTCAGAGCTATTCTTTACCTGCAACTAATTTACTAGCAGTTTAGGGCCAGAAAGAACAGTCATAGACTCATAGTAGAAGATATCTTAAATACTAAATAGAAACATGTTTTATTATATATCTCTCATACGAAACGAGCACACTCACAAATGAATTCTTGGATTACTCGCAATACTTACATGAAAAGCAGTGATTACTTGGAGCAAGAGATTAGCTTCCTCTCGTACATTTACTTGCTCCGGAGGCCCTTCAGTGCAAACATCACATCTGTTGCATACATTGGAAAGTTATTAGACCGACTGGTATTTTACCTTGATGGTTTTTGAAAAAGAAGGATAGCACTTACGAGTTACACTTCTTGGAACTGAAATCCTCACCAAAGTACTCAACGAGTATTTTCGCTCGACATTGTGAAGTATTCATTCCGTATCTACATGAGAAAAGGAGAATGAATGTCAAAGAATATAACAAGAAAAGTGAAATATGGACACACACGTAATTGACTAGTATACAGACTTGAAGCAGTCAGATAGCATCTTGTATGCTTGCGCTGTCTGTTCTTTGCTCCTACGGCTTGGCAAAAGTGTTGGTACTCTCGATAGATCAGCATAGAGCACTGTAAATCCCAGATTATAACTTACATCAGCCATGGCAAACAAGAGTAAATCTACACTCCCAAAAAATATCATTAATCAACTCACCGCACTCAGCCAATTTGCCATCTCTTCCAGCCCGCCCAGCTTCTTGGTAGTACGCTTCCAAGCTCTGCAGTTTCATTTTTTGAGATTTAGAAGAGAAAACAACAAATTTGCATAGCACATAATTCTCCAAATAGAAATGTTATATGTTAAACATGAAAAGTATTATTACAAACTTCAAGAGACCTGTGGCCAACCATAATGGATGATTTTCCGGACATTTTTCTTGTCAATTCCCATTCCAAACGCAATTGTGGCAACAACAACCTAAAGATGAGTNACATAGCGTCAATGATCTTCCACAGACTATTCAGACAAAAAATAGGTGGGAACAGCAAAGAGTATAGTAGAGTAGAACATTAAGTTTGAGCCATAAAGGTTCTATGAATATACCTGCAGCTTATTTTCGTGAAACTCCTGGTGAACTTGTCTGAGATGTTTCTTCGGTAACTGTGAAACATGGCAAACTGTTAAGCCATAACAGCACTTAAAGAACAGCATTCAATGCGGAATACAAGATTTTGACATCAGAAATCTCTATACAAAACTTTCTACAATAACTACTTGGTAGATAGTGACTTGTACGGTTGTACCAAATTAACAAAATTTCACAATGTTGATTCCTAAGAAACAGTTCAGAGGACTTCAGAAGGAAAGAACAAGTAAGATTTTTCAGTCCATACCGATGCATTATAAGCTGCAGCCTTCAGTCCAACCCCACAGAGATATTTTGCAATGTTGACACTCTCCTTTCTCGTAGGAACGTAAATGATTGTCGGTCCTTCAAAATGCCTTTGCTGGACACAATTCTCTTGTCCAGATTCATCAAGCATTTGCTTTTCGGAAGGGACAGACACATCCAGGATTTCACAAGGAGACGTTGCACAGAACTCACCACAAGCAACTGCAGCGGTTTTAAGTGTAATCTAAATCACCATTCAATGACTTCAATAACGTTAAAAACTTGATTAAAAATGTCTGTTGTGTGCATATTCACTTTGGATAAGTAACACTATCTTTTCGACATTGTATTACTAATGCTGTTTTCAATTTAGTTACGTGCAGTCACCAATTTTCTAATCAAAGTTATGTACTTTCATCTCTGTTTCCAAACAAAAATGAAAAGGAGCATACCATCCCAATCATCAACACTCTGGAAGATGTCGGTTTCATCTTCCAGATACTCTTCCGATATTTCTTTCCCTCTTGAACTGTTTTTCTTTGCCAACGAGTTTTCTGCATCCTCTTCATCACCATCGTCATCTGTTTCATAGATGTTTTCAGCATTGGAATTATCAAAATCACTATGTTCCTCTGACTCTCCTGAGATAACAGCTAGCTTTTTCCCAGTAGTCTTTCTCTTTTCAGAGTACAAGTCAATTAAGTTTTGGAAGTCCTTCGCATATGATGATGCAAACTTGGTTCGACTATGTTTAACCTGTATATAACAGAAAAATACCAGCTTTCTCATCTACTAATCTTATGCTAAGTGTTAACGAGTGCAGAGTGAGTTTTCATACATGTGAGATGGAGATTAAATCAGCACAGGAAACTCACTGAGAAACAAAGGTTTGGCCTGAAAAATGAAGTAAGCACGGTTTTTGTTTCCTTTGCCAGGTGAAGTGACTCAAGAATATCTTCTTGTACATGAGCTGTGGCCGTTGCAGTCAATGCCATTATCGGTACATCATATTTCAAGAATTCCAAATTGCTGGCGCAGAAGTTTTCCCGCAACACAGATAATCTCCTGAAGATATAGCAGCAGGTGATTTATTAAGAAAATAAGATTACCAACAAAAGCACTTGAATACAAACACTCACAAGTTTTGAATCATACCTGTAGTGCGGACGAAAATCATGTCCCCACTTTGATACGCAATGCGCTTCATCAATCGCAAAAAGAGCAATTCCATGAGTCTTTGCAAGTTTCTGGAGTGGCTTAATCAGTCTGTAATCGAGTTTCAACCTTTCTTTAAGTAAGAGCTAAACAATATAAATAAATGCACTTAAGAGAATTTCATAAAGTTGTGCTGCATACCGGACCACTGTCTCCGGGCAAACATATATGATCTGGTACAGTCCTTGCATTGCTTTCTGTTCTATGAGATTATCGAGTTGGCCAGATCCAAGAAAACAAGTAGAGACCTTGTGCTTTGATAGCTTCAGGCACTGATCATGCATCAGGCTTATCAAAGGTGAAATTACGACAACAATCTTTCCCGTCAATAATGCTGGAATCTGGAAGCAAAGAGATTTCCCTGCATGGTAAAGACACAGAAAACCCGATTAGACTGGTATTGACTCGATGTGAGAATGAAGTAGGCATCAGCAGCAAAAGAAACCTACCAGATCCTGTTGCAGCTAGAACAAGACAGTCCTTGTGAGCTACCCACGTTGACAAAGCCTCCCTTTGGAAACTTTTCAGGGACGAAATACCAAACCGAAATTGTAGAATAGAATTGACTTTTTTCTCCCACGTTGATGAAGCCTCTGAGCAACCATTTGACAACTGTGTATCAAGAATGCAACTAGACTCAGAAACCACTGGAGCAAAAGACTTTATCAGCTCTTCTGAAGGATCAGACAGCGTTTCTAACTGAGAACTCCATACCGCAGAACCAAAGCTGTCGCCTATCTTCTTGCTCCGGTCCGCGGATTTAAAATGGTCAAGCAAACTCGATTGTCGCATTGAGCCCGAAGAAGACAAAGACGAAGATGGCATAGCTCTTTTACAAAGGGTCTTATTATTCCTCGTAGAACATAGTGAACTAGCCGGCGCAAATCCACAGGTTCTATGATTCCCCTTTAGAATATACTCAACGGCATCATCACATGACTTACCTACAGCTTTTACAGCCTCTATAGCATCTAGTTTTTCGAAACCCATTTCAACAAGCTTCATCACAACTTGATTAGAAGACAAGGCTAGGTTATCCATGGAAGTGACTAAACAAGAGTAAATTTTCTATTTATATGGATAGGCTTTTGAGACAAGTAAACAAGTTGATTCCTAGTAACGCATTACCAGGCATTGCACATCATTTGGAAAAGCTCCTGAAACCATTAATTGATCAGAAAGTAACCCAAACAAGGGAATAAATTGCAGTGACTCGAATAAGTTGTTGTAATACGTAGATTACTCAACTCGTACAGAAGAAGTATTGAAGAATCCCAAATTCAGAAATCCAAACCCTTCAGATAACTAACAACAACTCTTCGAAACCAATTTCTCGCCAAAGACACAGACTTTTCAAAATTTAATCACTCGCTCACCTTGAACGACGAATTTCCTCGCAAAATAAGAGCCCTAAGTGCCAA